ATATTACCCAATTTTTTCCTATGTAGGCATTAAAACAATGGCACATACCCTCCTTCTGGGATTAGAAAAAGGTAGCACAACATTACAAAGGAGGCTTCCTTCCTCTGATCCATCTTCCACATTGTGACAGAAAAGGATTTCTAAAATACACCTTGGTTGCAATCATTCCTCTGCTTCACATCCCTTAAGAGTTCTCCATTCCCTCAACAAGGTCTCTGTGCCCAGGTCTCCAGGCTTCCCTCTGTCTGAAGCCCTTCTACTACTCTGTGCTCCACAGTTTGCTCTCCAAACAGTCCTGTTATGCCATGCCTCTCTGCTGAGGTCTATTTTGCTCCCTCTGTAAGGATGGCCACCTTCTGTGTTTTGGAGCAATGGGCTTCTCTTATATGGCCTTTGTGGTCCTGAGTTTATAATTCTCCAGAAATTATTCATCCAGCTGCAATCTGGCAAGTAATTGTTCTATTTACTATTTAGATAAGTGACTTGCAGGGATTCATTTATTAGCTGCAGAAGCAACTTGCAATTCATCCAGTAGGATTAAGTAGTTTGTGATCTATCTGGGTGATTGGTCGGTTTACTGTTCTGCTGGAAGGACCACATCTTGAGATCAGCAGGATGTTTTCATACATTAGTGGTGAATCTTACAGAGGATTTGGGGGACCTCTGTGATTAGGAAGAGCCTGGATATACCTACATTCATGGCAGCACTATTCACAATATGCCCATCAATGGAAGACTGGATAAACAAACTTGGTACATACCCGCAGTGAAGTTCTATGCAATGTTAAAGAATAACAATGAATCTGTGAAACACCTCATAACATGGATATACTTGGAGGGCTTTATGCTGAGTGAAGTTAGTCCTTCACAAAATAATAAATATTGTATGAGACTACTATTGTATGAAGTCAATAAAATATTTTCCTCCTAAAAGAAACCAGGAGTAAAGCTGAAGAGAGAATAACCCATTGGCTAGAGGGTAGACACATGTTCACTTGGCTGACAGCGAAGGCCATAGATAAGAACACTAGTAAGATATGCTCACTTGGAACAGTTAATGATTCAAGATCAAAAGGGCAGTATTTACCTAAGGAAAAACTTCAGAAGAAGGATGTAATGGAAACAGGAATCACAGGGAGGAAGTAGGTCTATTGAAATGAAATAAAGTACATGATTTGTTGAATGCAAAACTAATAATGTGCTCTGTTAATCTTCACTCAATTAAACAGTAAAGAGTTTTGTTTTGTTTCTTTAAAAAAAGAAGCTCATAACAGACTGGGAGTTTCCTCCAGAGCATACACAGAGATAAAATCAACCCCCAAAGCCAGTACCTTGAGTTTAGACTTCTAGCCTCCTAAACAGTGAGAAAATAAAATTGTTTGTTAAAATGTGCATCCATTGGACTCAGGATCCCTACATTGAGAACCTCCTAGACCCAAGTAATAGAACTATAATATGGGTTGGCCCAGGATGAGACAGTGCTTCCCTCTGTTGTGCATAGGGTCACTATGAGTTGATACCAACTCAGTGGTACCTAACAATATGGGTCAATGGATTAAGCCACTGTGTTGATAGTACTGAATACAGAGAAACAGCAGTAGAGCCAACAATATAAACCAGAGATCCAAAAGGGCCATGTGACAGAGAACTAAAAGCCCAGAGGGTTGAGAGGAGGCTGTTCCTGAGGACCAAGAAGAGGTTGGTCTTGAGAAGAGGCCACTGGCAGAAGCCTAGGAGACCTTGTGCAGGAGTCTTCCTGTAGAAGGACAGAGCTAGCAACACAAGGCACTGTGAGGACCAGCAGCGGGGTAGCATGGTAGAAGCCATCAGCATGAAGTCTACAAGGGCCCAGCAGCAAAGCCAGCAATATAAACCCAGCAAGACCCAGCAGCAGATCAGCACAACAGAATCACATGGATCCTCAGTGGTGTGGTAGAAGCCAGACTCAACAGGGATGTGAGCTCAGTGTGTGACCTGAACTACAGCATGCTTGCTCAGTAACATAAGAATGGACATGGGTCATTTGCAGGAAGGATAAGCAATTCCCCTTTGACAGATGAGCAAGTTTCTCACCTACAAAGTGAGTTATATGTAGGAAGATGGAGCCAATTCACCAAAAGTAATCTGTTCTTATTTGCCACTTGCTGTTTAAAAATAATAATAACTTTCACTTAGCCAACATTGTGTATATGTTTCATGTGTACAACTCCATCATACTGGATGAGCATAACACCCATGGAGTGGGTGAAGTTCTCATTCCTAGAAGTTTTATTGCTTCTTGGAAATTCTGAGGCATAGTCTGTGTGTATAATACAGACACACATACCCTAGTTCTCCACGTTCTGGAGAAATTTACCACATCTTCCAAGACTAGGTTCAAAGGTTATTTCAACTATGAAGCTTTCTCTGATCTGCCCATACAGAACAGACCACCCCTTCCATTGCCTATTCACTCCCCCACTTACATGGCCCCTTAAAATTGATCATATTTACACATTTACTCATCTAAATTTCCTACCTAGACTCTGAGTCTTTTGATGGCAGACACTGTACAGACATACCTCAGAGATATTGGTGGTTTGCTCTAGACTACCACAGTAAAGCAAATCACATGCATTTAGTGATTACCCACTGCATATAAAAGTTATGTTTCTACTACCATAGTCTATTAAATGTATAGTAAATAGTATTATGATGGAATACCTAAAATGTGGCTACAATGTGCCCAGTGAAGGAGGCTTCCTATGGAGCCTCTGCATTACATAAGACAATAGGTGGAATCCTATTGTCCAGCATCCAGAATCTTCTGAGGTGGGAAAATTCCACTTGAAAGGACAAGCAGACAAGCCTGGAGTGGCTAGAAGAACAGAAGATACTTCTTGAAAGAAAGACTGACAGCAGAAATACAAAACAACAACAGCAGTCTGACTGATTCCTACAAGAACAAGCAAGTTGTTAGCCCAGGAGACATCAAGGCAAGTGGGCAGGTCCCCTCAGGGCAAACACACTTCCAAGACTAAGACTCAATGGGAATACACAAGCAGACATGTGCTCTGATTGGTGACCACACAGGCCACCAATAGGGGGAAGTAAGGGAAAAACAGCAATGAAGCTACAAGCTAAGCCCTACAATGTTCAATAGACTCCTGTGAACCCAGGTGGAGACCTGGTTGGCCAGCAGTGTGGCAAGACCTAGGGACTCTTTAGCCCATAGTCACAGAGGACTAGAGTGGAGAGTGAAGCGTCCAGCTGATAAGAAGACAGGGCATATGCATAAGAACATCCACACTTGCAGATAATACCTACTTGACCTGGCTTCAATGACTGGATGATCAGAGCTCAATGAGAAGAAGAAAGATGATGAAAAAAGAGTAATCTGATACAATTTGATGAACTTGACCTACACCTATGGATGCAGTAGCTCAAAAGAGGGAACAAATCTTTACACCAAGGATCATTCCTACCCCCTCCATGCACAGAGTAGACAGGGATGGGCAACTTGGACATTGGTTACCCAAAATGGGGGTGGGGGGTACAAATACAAGAAATGACTGGCTTACAAGCTTGCAAGAGGGAACCTAGCTAGATCCAGAGGGCACGGAGGAAGGTAGAATATCCACTGAGTAGAATCCAATCTGTCTGGGCGGGGCTGATGAAAGGAAATGGGGATTGGTCTCTTGTGGTGCAAAAGTGAATAACTGTTATCAGGACTGACTGTGAGTGTTGGAAATGAAAAGATAGACATTTTGTAGCAAAAGGAGGGGAGTGATTGACTTTGAAGTCCAGGAGTGGAGGTCTCTGGGACCATCAAGGGAGAAGAGCAGAGTGTGGGACCCTACCGAGAGACACAGTGATGCCAGAGATAGAGACAGACGATGATGTGGAGAGATGGAGCATCTGGGGACTCTAGACCCAGAGAGGGAGAGGGGCTATGTGCTCATGACGGGGGGCCAGGCTTGCAGGGTATTCCCATTGGTTGGTTGATGATGCATGGAGGGGATTATAACCCTGGCAACAAAATGATAAACAATAAGATGAATGTAAAGCTAATGTTCTCCATGTAAACTATCACATAATTCACAATAAAACATTTTTAAAAAAGAATAAAATATTTCAATGGTCTTTAAATATATATTATATATATAAGATAGTGTTATGAAACAGTTTGAAATATTGTGAGAATTAACAAAATGTAACACAGAGAAACAAAGTGAGAACATGCTGTTGAAAAGTTGGATTGCTCAACACAGAATTTTTTACAAACCTTAAATTTGTAAAAAAAAAAAAAAAAAAAAAAATCTGTGAAGCACAATAAAATGAAACATACCTATATTTCATTCATTTATATATCCAACGCTTACCAAAGTGCTTGGTATGAAGTTTTCAATAAGATCTTATTTTATAAATTGAATTTGAATTAATTTAGTCCTCCATAAATTTCTCTTTCTCACTCATGCTCTTCTTCTCACTCACTCTCTTTCTCTCTCCAGTCTGCACACATATACACTAGGCAGGAGGAAAGGGAAGGACAAGAAGTGGTCAGAATTGAACATCTCTTGTGGTGTCAGTTTGATAATCTGTAGGTCCATCTGTCTTTACTTCCAATGATAGCCTGTGGCTAGTGACTAAACGTAGAGGTGAGGGACTGTTTTCCCAATGTGGAAATTTCAAGCAGGACTATCCTGAGAACTTTCAGAGTCACTGTGCAACTGTTCCTTTTCAGAAAGCACCCTGAACAGAGGCTAATTTGGCAACTACCTGGGTGAAATCTGTCTGACCAGAACCCACCCTCTCTCACACTGTCATCCCTGTCCCTGCAGTGACTGTAGATCTGTGAGGGACTCACCTGGGGATTTCAGGACCTGGTGCTGCTCCCAGCTTCCAAGTGCACAGTGTTTAGGACTGTCATTCTCCCTAACCAGGACCAGAAGAAGGATTGTCTGGTTGCTGTCCATGGTCCTTCATCCTCACACTGCCATTCCAGGGGCTTGGACTATGGACTAGGTGCTGTCCACTGTGCTAGTCCTTTGGAGCCCAGTCTTTTTTGCCACAGCAAGGAAAAGCAAACCATATACTCTTAGACCACCAAATATTTCTTTAAAGTCACTGTTGGATTTCTCATGAAGTGCTCTCATGACTTTCCTGATATCCAGATGAAATATTTTTAGTGCATTAAGGAATCAGGAAATCGCTGCAATACTGTGCATAAATAAACATCATGAAAATTGTCTTCTCTGTGAACGTGGATACAAAGCAATCCACTGCATTGAAGCAGGGAGGTTGAGTGCATTTTAAAGGGGGGTACATTTGAAACCCATAGAGAATATATTAGTCTATCATGAACCCTACTTCAAGTGCAAACCTGGTCAAGATCTGTAAGACAAAAATACATAGCAAATATCCTTTCAGAGGAGCCTTATGTGTCCTCTTCTGCTCCTCTAGCATGCTTAGTTCACTATCTAATCTTTTCTGCTCTTCCAGGTCAAGCTCTAGATTCTCCATCTGCCTTTATTTCTCTAAGATCCTGAGTATATAAATTACATGGCCTTATATACTAGAGAGGGAGAAGACACAAAGACAATCTATAAAACCCAAATTCTAATCAAAGAGATAGGAAAAGAATCATCATAACAGATGTTGTTGCATCCTGACTGCTGGATGTTACAGATAAATGCTGAGTGTTCATCATCCAGAGCTCCTCAGCAGCCACCAAGTACCAGTACTTACAAGATGAAGAGAATGGTCAGCCAGATTCCCCACACACCCACTATGCTTAAGTGAGAGTGAACTTCCTCTAGGATGTCACCCAATGAGTTCTAATCCTCTATGATTAGAGGTTATTGGCTGATATACACAGAAAATGGTAGTTTATAGCACCCATGGTATAGTGTTTAAAAATACAGGCACATAAATATAACAGGTTATTTTTCATGTCAAAAGTTGTAAAGGACTCTCCATCTCTACACTTTATGATCTATAGTTGATGAAATACAAGCTTTCCAAGGAATATTAGTTTTAAAATCACACACACACAACAAAAAAACTAAAAGACTGTACATCAAGTTGATCCAATTTCTGTCCCACCCTCTTCCACTGCTCTTCTACACAAAACTGCTGTGCAGTAATTTAGTATACTTAACTGCCCCATATTTGAACAATGCTTTTATATACCACAATTTTGCTCATTTTTCTACCTATCATTTTTACTAAAAAGCATGCACCCCTTAAGACACACAGACTGAAAGGATATGGGAGGGAGAGTGGGAGTATACCCACAAACATATATATACATATACACACACACACTCATTATATAT